AAGAATTAGACTTTAAAAGTATGCATCTGGGTGCCATGAGGGGTCAGGGGTCACGTCTCGAGGATCACACAAAATTGTATCGATTTGTATTGAAATAAATTCTACAATAAAATAGATTGGGATTGAGGGGGTCCCAATCTCCAAGAACTAAACTTGATCTTAAATGTGATCATCACTGCCAGTAACTCTTCTCTCCAGTCAGCAATGCATGTATTTCTAGATAAAAGCACGGCTTTTTTAGACCACATAAATTAATTTACCGATGATTCTCTTATGAGGACTGGAAAACAGAGGCTTTTAGGGGGTCTGGAGTTACAAAACAAACATAATTTCAATAGTGTGCCCAAAGCCTCGGGTTAGCTTTGACCTTTTTATGTTTAGTGTGTTGTGGGCTGAAACATCAGAAACTGTTTTGCTACAATAACAGGAACCAGTTATTTACATCTGGCGATAACTCCTGTGCTGTGTTTGGTAGGTCCTGGTAACCTTACCACAGAAAGTCACTCAGTCACTTTTTTATGTTGGGCTTACTTGCCATGTCTTCTTTTAGCCATTCCAGGCTGTGCCACCCTGTGGGCTGGGCTGACCGATCGTGACTTGGCTAGGAAAGAGCTCTGTATTGATAGCTGCCTAGTAGATGTTTTCCCCGCGCTAAGACAATAAAAAATCAATAGTAATTACTCGGCTATCACCATTCTTCAGCTCCTATGATTTGTTTTAAATCATGCGAGTCACGATGCTGGTCACTGAGCCAGCACTGAATGCTACTACCTCATTTATTGGTGACTAATATGCTATTCTGGATCTCTGCAAATTTACACATCTTTTTACATTTAATTAACCTTTTTAATAGAAATATAGTTAAAGGTGAACTGTTAGCTTTTTTTTGTTTCTCTCCTTTTTTCTTTTAATTATTGCATTTAATGTGTGATTTCTGTGTTTGCTAATGTGTTTACTGCTTTGTTGGTACTTTCATGTCTACTAGCAGGGTCTCTAGGCTTCCTGTTTTATACATAGAAATAATCCCATTGAAATGTCTCAAACAAAATACCTTGTTATACCTTGTTATATATGCAAACAAGGGCAGCCATATTTGTTCATTACATAAGCATGCTCTGCTTCCTATTAGTCCAGTTATCGCTCTAATTGTAAAAGAACAGGCATTAAAAAGAAATAAAAATTAAAGTACAGGAATTGTTCCCGTCAGCCTATGCTAGCGTTATAATTGCGCCCCCTTGGCTTTAGTTTGGGCTGGGCATAAATTGGTATCAGGTTTACCATTGTCATTCTGTTATCTTATGAAACTTAGAGCCGTGACTCTCACATTGTTTGCTTCACACGCAGTGATAAAATAACCCCCCCCTCCTAAGCAAAGGCCACTTTGCATTGTATTCGCAGGTTAAAATGTACGTTGCATTGCCAATATTGTTACCGAATAGTTTAATCAGGTATATTTGTTGAATACCCTTTGTTTTAGCATTTTAATAACCACCCCACGTATGAGGCTGTAGTATTTAGTGATAAGTAATTAAAGCAAAAAATAAAATAAAGATCCTTTTGTAAAGCACCCCCCCCATATTCATCAAGGGGCTTGGGGGGATTCCAGCAGACGTGGACAGTAAGTGGCTTGGTCTGAACACCTTGGTAACGCACTTAAACATAACCCAACACCAATACACATTTACCGTATATACTCGAGTATAAGCCGTCCCGAATATAAGCCGAGGTACCTAATTTTAGCAAAAAAAAACTGGGAAAAAGTATTGACCCGAATATAAGCCGAGGGTGGGAAATGAGGCAGCTACTGGTAGATAGATACCAATAAAATTACATTAATATTTATTTAAAAGAAAAATAACCTAGCTCTGTAAGTGGAAAAGGGGGTACAGGGCTACATATCATGTACTACGGATCATTTAACCCATTCATATTAGCAGAGGATAATTGTAAATCTATTGTTCAGTGCACTCTATATGTAGTATATAGTACATGTACATATAGAGGTGCCTGCAACAATACATTTACAATGATCCTCTGCTAACATGAATGGGTTAAATGATCCATAGTACAGGGCTACATACAGATCATTTAATACATTCATGTTAGTAT